CAAGTTGAGCCTGTTTGACTTGGGAGAAAAACACCCAATAGCAGGTTCACTGGGAACTTCCTGGACAGAGGACCATCATTTGTACCATGACCCTGCTCAACGGTCTAAGTCCCCAGAGTCCAGGCACACTGGCCACAGGGGACTAGAAAGGACAATGGAGTTAGAGAACCACGTGGTCCTAACTCCATCCTGAACTCAGAGAAGCCTCAGAATGGGGAGATGTTGGCTATTTCCTGGGCCAGCTCAAATATCTGCATACCTTCCCAGCCTAAGTGAGAACAGAGGCTGCGCAGATGGACCCTGGAGGAAGCTTCATGACCTGTGCCTCTGGTCACGGGGCCAGCCTGGGAACCTGTGATTCTGTGGGGAGAAGGCAGAGCCCAGTGAACACTGGAGGCCTTGCATCTGCAAGGGGCAATGGCTACGCATACTCTTTCTGTGCACTTCCTTCTCCACCAGAACGTGCGGATGGCCATGGGTCCCTGGAACCGTTTGCCCCTAGGGAGCAGCCAGCACAGCCGCTCTCCTCCTACAGTACTGACAGTGGCCTTGCCTCTCACAGCCAGTAAGCAGAGTTTTCTCCACATGGCTACACCCACATCCCTCTCACTTAGGGGTTCCTCTCATGCGGGCTAGGGTCCTATCCCCACAGTGACCTGCTCTGTCCCTCCCACTCTGGGGAGGTTCTGCCTCTCCTAGAACCTTACCTTTGAAAAACTACACTCACATTCTCTGTGAGGGGAGGTTTCCTCACTAGCGCAAGGTCACGCATGCGCCTTTGCCCAGCTGCCCTCTGTCCTTCAGAAACCCGTGCAGTTCGTGCTCCGGTCTGTGTAGCCGGAGGTGTACTAGTTTGCCTTCTATTGCGTGAGAAAGACCACAGGTACAGGCAGTTTAGGGAGGAAAACATTTATTTGGCAAACTTGTCCTGATCCCACAGTGAAGGGACGCTAGCCCACTCGAACATGTGACTCTGGCAGGCCTTGCACCCCCGCCCCCCCCCATTCCCTCTGCCCTGCTAAAAACCTTCAGATTACATTCCTAAAGCCAGACACTAAGGTCTCTTCCCTTATTTGGCCACTTCCTCCTCCTGAGGCCGACCACCAAAGTCCAGCGATCAGAAGCCCCCTTTGGTCTGCCTAATTAACAGTCACAATTAAAATTAAACCCCTCATTCTAACATGGGGGTTCCCCTTTCCTTCATAAACCGTTTGCCTATGTGCTATAGTGTCCCCCTCTCTCCAGAGGGGTACCCCTGCGGGACAAATGCCCCTTCCTCCTTTCCCTTGTCTCCTTCCCCTTTTCCCTTGTCCCCTAGCTCTTTTACCATCGCATCCCAGCCCGTTCTCACACAGACCTCCCCTTCTTCTCCTCTTAAGACTCATACCTGAAAGGAAGGTCACTTGCCGCTGTTTTCTGCCCGAGCCAGAAAGCAGCCGCTTCAACTTTTCATTCCTGCTTAATAAAGGATCTCTCTGTGAAAACAGTGTTTGGGTGTGGTTTGTGCCTAATCTGGAGTCCTCAGAGGAAATCCCCACTGTTTGGGGGTCTCCTCACACAGTCCTTCACTGAGGGAAACCAGGGCAGGAGCTCAAATAGGGCTAGCAACCTGGAGGTGGGAATTGAAGCAAAGACCGCGAGAAACGCTGCTCACTGGCTTGCTTCCAGGTTTCTTATACAGCCCAGGTCCACCTGCCCGGGTATGGCACGTGCCATAGTGGGCTTGGCCCACCCACCTCAGTCATCAATGAAGAAAATGCCCTATAGACTTGTCTACGGGCCAATCTGATAGAGGCAGTTCCTCCGTTGAGATTCCCTCTTCCCAGATACTAATAGGTGTGTGTCAAGCTAATGGAAAAACTGACCAGCACACAGTCATTTCCTTTCCGGATGCTCCGAATGAAGTCGCCGTGCACACCCTCGTGCACATCAATAATTGAGGTGAACGGACAAAACAACACGTGGAGATGGCTTTTAGTCATCTCTTCAGGCCTCAAGGCCCCGTGGCAGAACCTGTGTAGGGTCACATGACCAGGCTCTGCAGTTAGGAAACAAGTCTGGGTCGCCTGCTGTCGCTCTTTTGCTCCACCCACATAGAAAGCACAGGCCACGAGCCAAAGACCTCAGGGCGTCTAAGCAGCTGGCAGTGGGCAGGCTGAGCAGCTGAGCATGGCGCCCTCTAGCGTTACAGTCTGGTTCAGGCCTCAGGTGCCTGGAACAATTAACAGCGCTCATTCTGAGGTCTGAGAGCCTTAGGACCCGACGGATCTTTGGAACGCTTCTGTTGATGAGGGCCTGCAGTTTCTGTTTTCTGGATCGTTAAAACCTTTTTATTATTTTCATTTCATTTATTTTATGAGGCTGAGACTTACATAGCCCAGGTTGGCCTTGAACTTGCTTTGTAGCTGAGGGTGAACTTGAACTCCTGAGCCTCCTGCCTCCACCTCCCAAGCTCCAGGATTACAGACTTGGGCTTCCAAACTCTGCTCCTTTATCCTCCATTAGCCAGCCCCACCCACTCTAGTCTCCCCTGGCACCGCCCTCCTCCTGCTTCGGCTCCACTCTGGTTCAGCAGCCTCTTTCCGCTGTCCAGCAGTGGGCTGCCTTGTTGCCTTTTCATCTTGGCATAATGACTGCTCAGCTGCCGCTGCCACCTCTACCACCGCCACTGCTCTCTGTGGCCTCTTTGGCTTCTTTGTGTTACCACCTCGGTTCTCACTACAGAAGTCAAGTGAAGATCACTTATGGCATCTTTAGAGGAAGTTGGGCTTCTCCCTGCCAACTCGTTGGATGAACTAGGTTATATAGGATGTTAGAGCCAACCACAGCTGTTTGTTTGGGCCAATCACATCCTGACTCTTAGACTAGTCTCTGGCAGCCCCTCTGCTAGACCTCCAAGGGAAGAACCCTCCCTCTGACCAAGGTGGAAATAGTTGTAGGGTTACTTAGACATGGATTTGGGTCTCGATGATGAAACGCTGGAAAGAGCTGTTTCAAACAGTGAGGACTGGGCTGTGCCTTTGGGAGCAAGGGCAGTCAGCTGTGGTTGCCAGATCATTTTCTCAAGGTGTTCCAGATGGCTGGTGCTAGCGTAAGGGTAGCCTGCCAGTCTGCTCGACCTCTGGTCCTTTGGCTTAAGGCAGCCATTACAGCCAGGGACAGCCAGACAGTTGCTGATTAGGGAGTCAAAAGCCCTAGCCACACTCGCTGCTTCTTTACAGGAGAACGAGCATCTGAAGGAGCGCTCACAATATGAACTTAACTCACCACTGATGTGAATAGGGATTTTAAGGGTGCTTACAGCCTGACCAGTGCCCACAGATAGATAGACCCCCCCAACACACACACACACACACAATATTTCATGGAGTCCATTTTGTGCTGTCCATATACTCTTGTTCAGGGCCATCCATTGGTTGACCAGGAGCCACGCCCTTAAAGAAACAAACTCTCCGTCCCCCAGAAAGCATCAGCTGCTAACAGTACCTCAGCTGGAGGTGGGGGGCTCATGAGACGTCACTCTCCATGCTAGAATGCCGACTGGCATGATCTTGTGCAGCCACAGCTGCTGTGTGCATGGGTGCAGCATCCCAAAGACACTTTCTCTGCTGTCCTCCCCAGTCTGTGTCCCTTACAGACTTTCAGTCCCCTGAGCCTTGGCAGGAGGGTCATACAGATGTTCCAGATGTGGCTGAGCCTTGGCGGGAGTGTCACACAGATGTTCCGTGTGTGGCTGAGTGCTCCAGTTACTTACTCTCCACACTTTGATTAGCTGTGAGTTTTGTATTAACTTCCACCCAGTGCAAGAACTTCTCTGCTGAGGTCTGAGAACTGCACTGTGGGCATAGAGACGTGAATTGAGAGGACAGATGGACACTGTGTCCCATTAGTAAAATCATAGTAGGTTCACCACTATGATCTGAACCCTGGTCCTAACCCACTGATCCATCTCTTCTGCTTCATTAGTAAACAGTTCCTAGAGAAAAATAAATGCTGGGACAGAGCCTGTAAACCATTTGTTACCCTGTGACCCCAGGACACAATAGTATCAGTTCCTCCAAACCATTGTACTCTCTCTGTCTGTCTGTCCTCCTCCCCCAATGTGTGTAGGTTCCCACAGAGGCCAAAGGTGTCCGATCCCCATGACCACAGAACTGGAGGTACAGGCAGCTGTGAGGTGCAGGGCACGCATACAGAGTCCTTTGCAACTGCTGAGCCATCTCTCCAGCCTTGTTTTCCCTTTCTTGAAAAACCCTCCTCCATTTTAATACTTTTCTGTGTGTCCCTGGTATAATCTTGGGATTTTGGTGAGTGCCCTGGGGCCCCAGAGCCACACTTTTAAAGTTGGGGCGTGAAGGGTGGGAGCCAGGCTGTTCACTTGCTTTGTCCCTGCACTCGCTTTCACCTGGGTTGGTCACGGACCCAGGGCTGCGGGTCCCAGAGCACTGCCACGTTCGCGGATCTTCTCGGGCCCTGTGCACTCATTGGCATGCCCCAGTTTTCCTTATTCCTTCCCGGATGCACAGCAGGGCAGCAGGGACGCGCAGGGCGGCAGAGGCACAGGGCGACGGGGACACAGTAAAATTCCCAACTCACCACTTCCATGAGTGCTGTCCCCTATAGACTCAGAATACTTCCTCCCCGCTAGTTAACTTGGGTTCCCACTTTTAGTGCATTATTCCCTAACTGCTCTCAGTTTTCCTACCCATTTAGCATAGACAGTCCTATTCCATGAGTATGGAGAGAATTTTCCAGAATAAAATACACTGCCTTGAACACTGGATACAAAGAAAACAGCCTCTCCCATCTGAACTTTTAACCTGACGATTTAAAACTCAAAAAAAAAAAGCTATTCAGATAATACAAAGATATTCACTGAGTCCAGCAGATGAATTCTTGAGGTGCTGTAAATTTTATTTTACGTGTGTGCAGGAGCCACATGCATACCTTAGTATATTTGTATGTGGACCATGTGCATGCAATACCCAAGGACCAGAAGGGGACAAAAGAGCCCGTGGAACTGGAGTCAAGCGCAAATATGGGTGCTGGGACCTGAACCCAGGTTCTTTGGAGGAGCAGCCAGTGCTCTTAACTACTGAGATATTTTCCAGGACCAGGTTTGTTTGTTTGTTTATTATGTATTTTTGAAAGCTTCTTATGAAAGAAACCGCTTTTAATGAAGGTAAAAGAAATTCCTTTAGATATGCTCTGAGCTGGAGGCCAGCTTGGTCTACAGAGTGAGTTCCAGAACAGACAGGGCTACATAGAGAAATCCTGTTTGGAAAAACAAACAAAAGACTAATCCTGAAAAAAGGAATCTATAGCAACTCAGAGAGACCAGAAGAGGGCACCAGATCCCCGGGAACTGAAGTTACAGGTGGTTGTGAGCCATCCATAGGAGACACTTTATGTAGGAAGGAAATCATCATTAAAAATCTATGTATCTGTATCTCATGCTAAATTTCATGGCTTGATTAAGTTTTTTTTTATCCTAGGCCCCGTGAACGTTGTTTTGAGTAAAGCAACATTTTAAGGTTTTATGAAACGTTCAATAGATCCAAAGATATCATTTAGTAGATTTTAAGATGGTAAGAGTTCCTCAGTTTATGAGTGTGTATTTATTAAGCCTTTCAAAATATCCAAAAAACACATGCTAATGGTGCTGGTTAGGTATTTGCCCTTCGTGAAAATTCGGATACTTTGTGTGCGATCTCTGCACTAGCATACGTACGGGACACAATCGGGACGAAGAGACAGCACCGAGAAATCCTAGTGTTTCTGTTTTACGACTATTCCGCGTGTTGCTCTTTTCTCAAAGAAATGCTTATTTGTATAGCTAATAAAGCTGCGCGCCTTTCTTGCTTGTTCATCTAGCCATTAGCTTGGGCATCGCCCAGTTTCTTCCAAGGGGACAGGGGACTAAGAACCAGAGCAGGCGCTCGAGTGCCCGCCGGTCCCCGCCATCCCGGACCGGCCGCCCCGTGCCCGGGGTCCCCGATCTCCGTCACCCCGGACGGGCAGCACCGTGCCCGCCGCAGAGGCGGCCGCCATCTTACAGGCGGGTCCCGCGGCCTCCCAGCCGCCGTCAGTCGGGTCCCCCGATCCCACAGTCCCCGGGCGGCCCCCGGCTCCCGAACATCCCTCAGTTCCTCCTCGGCGCCCCCTCGCTCGTGAGTGTCCCCCGCGGGTCGCCGCGAGAGACTGAGGGGGAAGAGCCAAACGTTCGTCGCTGCCTGGCGACCGGGCAGCCTCCGCGCGGCGGTTCTGGCCGGCGCCGCGGGATTCCGAACCCCTCCCCTGCATCCGTGAGCGCCGATGCTCTACCCGAACCCCTGAGCCCAGGAGCGAGCCGGTGGAGTGAGGCCTTTAGCGACGCAGAGTCACTAGCTGACTGTGACCTCGTGGCGCAATGGTAGCGCGTCTGACTCCAGATCAGAAGGTTGCGTGTTCAAGTCACGTCGGGGTCAATTCGGGTTCATCTTTTTTTCCTTCGCCAACAAGAATAAAGTACAGCAAATCCTCAAAGACGAAATTGGATTAGTAGCGGATTAAACCGTCTTTCTTACACCGTGAAAGACAAGCACGACTTTATCTCTTCTTTGAGATCGTGAACGCCCGAACGCTCTGCAAAGCGATGATTCCCGATGACCGACAGGAGGCGATGCTGCAGCAGCAACTGAATCGAGGTGGGATCTTAGGGAAGGTGCGCTGACTCAGCCTCCACGGTCAGAGCCCTGCCTTGCCCCTCGGGCTGAACCCCCCACCCCCAGATTTCCTGGGCCGGTGTGAGCTATCAGTGCTGAACCTGTGCTTTAAGATAGATCTCTCCGTGTTTGCTTGGAGTTTCATTTTCTCTTGATCTCGCGATGATCATCTCTCGGGAGGTCACGTCTTCAACATCCGTGCCCCATCCTAATCCCTACAAATCCAGTTACAACCATGAGACCTGGATTTTTTTTGTTAATAGCTTTGTTTTCATTCTCTTCCTCTCCTGCAAGATTGATGCAGAAAATGAAAGTATGCTGCATCAAAATTATAAACATGAAATTGAAATTGAGTTCTTTTATGTAAAATGCTTGGAACCAGAACTGTTTCAGATTTTTATAAAAACTTTTGGAATGTAGGCTGTCTTAGGGTTACCATTGCCGTGATGAAACACCATGACCAAAGTGACTTTTTATTTCACTCACAGTTCCAAGTAACAGTTCAATCAAAAGCGCTGGGGGCAGGAACTCAAACAGGGCAGGAACTTGGAGGCAGGAGCTGACGCAGAGGCCACAGAGGTGCTGCTCCCTGGCTTGTTCTCATGGCGTATTAAACCTGCTGTCTTAGAGAACACCTGCCCAAGGCGTCTCAGGCACCAGGTCAGGCCCTCCTCCACCAATCATTAAGAGATTGTCTTACAGGCTTGCCTACTGCCTGTCCACAAGCAGGCATTTTCTCTACTGAGGCCTCCTCCTCTCAGATACCTCTAACTGTGTCAAGACGACATAAAACTAGCCAGGACATTGATATACATGTAATTACATATTTTTAACTTGAAACTCAAATTCAAACATAGGATCCACTTACGTTTCATACATAATCGCTATGTCCACCTGTCCTGCGAAGCCAAGGTGTAGAATTTTTGGGCTGACCTCGGCATCATGTCACTGGTCAGAGGTTTTGGGCTTTGAAGCATTTTGGATTTCCAGGTTAGAAAGAGTCAAGCTGTAAGTAATTTGGTACTGAAATGTGTATCTGTATGTAGAAGTGAATGGCGACTCTGTTGTGGTGGCAGGAATATAATCCTAGATCTTGGGAGAATGAGGCAGGGAAGTGCAAGCTCAAGGCTAGCCTCGACTACATATCAAGACCTCGTTTCAAGAAAAGGGGTGGATAAGTGCATAAAATATACGCACAAAGTATAATTAAATGTGAAGCTTCTCAGCTTCTATTCTGATTGCCAATTTTAATTTCTCATTGAGTTCTATGATTCTGATTAATTTTGGTATATGATATTTTTATTTATTTGCAATTTTTAAAAAAATAATAAAGTTTACCATAAACAGGAATATACACATCAATACTAGGACAGTGAATCACATCAGGAAAACGAGGAAGAAGAGACTGTGGTGTGTGCAAATGCTCTTTCTCACCAAAAGGATGTAGTCTCCATGGGGTCATGGAAAGTGACTTCTGGGGCTGGAGAGATGGCTCGGCTGTTAGCAGCACTTGCTGCTCTTCCAGAGGATCAGAGTCTGTTCAAGTCTCAGCTCCCACACTGCTGCTCACAACTGTCTGTAACTTCAGTTCTGATGGTTTCAACACCCTCACACATGCATACATGCAGCAAAACACTGATGCACATAAAATAAAAATAAATAAGTAGTTTAAAAAATAAGTAAAATAAAAGATAGCTTTAAGTATGACTCACTCGACCTGACTCACCTGTCTGGTACTGACAGAGGCGCACAGAGGTGGAGATAAAGTCCCTCTGGATGAGATGTCATCCTCACATCATGTCCTCTAGCTTTCTCATATAGAAGGTCTCAGACGAAACTTACTCATGATAGAATTGAAAAGGCAAGAATATTAAGGGGCTGAGGAGGTGGCTCCCTTAGCAGCGTGCTTGTGTGGTATTCATGACACCCTGGCTTCTGTTCCCAGACAGGATTAAAGTGGGCGTGGTGGATGCCTCGCACAAAGACTGAACTGAGAGAACTTACAAAGATCAAAGGAGACAGAAAGTTTGAGCAACTGTTGAGATCATGAAAATAGAATGAAAAATATCTAAGCCTAAATTAAATAGTTTCTCTGAGGAAGATGATAACAGAGCAGGGGAGGGGCAGCATCCAAGGGAGACGACAGAGAGCAGAGACGGTGGTTTGTTGCTTTCAGGCCTGACAACATAGAAGTCCCTACTCTGAAGAGGCCAGTGTATCTTAAGCCCGATATAAGACCCCCACCCTCACATTCTGTGGTTGGCATGAGAAATGTCCCCAACAGATTCATGCATTTGAACACTTGGTCCCCAGTTGGTGGTGCTGGCTGGGGAGGTTTTAGAGCCTTTAGAAAGGCAGTTCCTTGCTGGTCTCTCTGTCTCTGTCTCTCTCTCTGTCTCTCTCTCTCTGTC